TAACTATTTTAATATCCTTCTACCTGGAATGGCTCTCGGGCCTTGTTGGGGAAACTTTAGTATAAAGACATAATTGAATATAATGTTCTCTTAATTAATGTTAAATAATAAGAACGTATTAGAAATAATGAGACAAGGATGACAGCAACAATAAAGTGAGGTAAAAGTTATATAAACGATAGCAAATGCACACTTGAACCATTATTTCGATGGATAGCTTTTTGTCAGAGTGAAAAATATATATAAAAATATGGACGGAAGTATTATTCGTAACAATGCATTTAATTTTAAGATCGAACGGAACAAGGGACTTAAGTGCATTACGTAATAGTCCGGGCGGCGAACAGGTTGCTGGCGAAAACAAAGAAAGAAAGAAAACAAACGGAAACGGAAATAGCAAACAATGTCACGTGACTACTGTTGTCTACTCCTTTGACTTTCTTTTGTCATGAAAACAAAATATAAACAGCAAAACTTTCTTTTTACTTTCTCATTTTAATGTCGAATGGTTTCTGAGTTTACTTAAGTTTCGTTTTGTTATTTAAAACGAAAGTTATCGTGTTTAACGCAAAAGAAGACTTTAATGTTTGACCTGCATTTCCATAAAAGACGACCAACAATATTTTAGTGACTTTTAAAAGGTAACAGATAGATAGATTGAAAGAAAGAAAGAAAGAAAGAAAGAAAGAAAGAAAGAAAGGATGAGATAGATACATAGACAGAGAGACAGGGAGAAATGAAGGAGATAGATAGATAGATAGATAGATAGATAGATAGATAGATAGATAGATAGATAGAAAAAGAAAGAAATGAGAAAGAAAGAAAGAAAGAAAGAAAGAAAGAAAGAAAAAAGAAAAGAAATGAAGGAGCGAGACAGAGACATAGAGAGACAGAAAGAAATGAATGAGATAGATAGATAGATAGATAGATAGATAGATAGATAGATAGATAGCGAAAGCAAGAAATGAGAAAGAAAGAAAGAAAAAAAGAAAGAAGGAAAGAAAGAAAGAAAGAAAGAAAGAAGGAAAGAAAGAAAGAAAGAAAAAAAAAGAAAGAAAGAAAAAAGAAAAGAAGAAATGAAGGAACGAGACAGAGACATAGAGAGAAAGAAAGAAATGAATGAGTGAGATAGATAGATAGATAGATAGATAGATAGATAGATAGATAGATAGATAGATAGATATAAACAGCCTTTCATTGATAGATATATAGATAATGCGTTTCAATAAAAGATGGCTTACAAAAAGAAGTGGAATTTTAAAAGATGGATAATTGGTTAGGCTTTTAAATTTTCAAATGCCCCTATCCTATATTGATAGATTTGAAATCAGAGAGTTTGCTCATAGTGAATAACACATTGATTTGGTATTTCTTGCAAAAATCAAATAATTGTCGGATTTTAATAAAAGTTTCAGAACTTAATACACAAATGATTGGAATTATTTTTGAATTTTTTTTTAGAAAATCTTAGTATTTTCTTTACATATGCTACCCTCCCACGCACACACTTACTTAATTTCATGAAATTTCGAGAGATAGATAGATAGATAGATTTAAACTCCTATTCATTTCACGAAAATCTGCCTCGTATCCGGTAATATTGTTATTAAGTGAAAACTATATTTACGAATCAAAAATTGAGTCGCTCAATAAAAGTTGTTTACCACCTAATATATTTTTCAAAAATTATTTTTTTAATGTATATAATAGTTTAGGTAATTGCCCCTGTTTGAAAGTATGGTCGACCATGCACGACATAATCAGAATTCTGCATTACTTTCATCCGGTTAGGTGATATCGTTATTAAGTGAAAACTATATTTATTAATCAAAAAATTGAAAATCTTAATACAATTCATTTTGCACCAAGTTTTTGAAAATAATCATTCATTTTTTATGTATATAAACTGTACCCATTTTTGAAAGTATAGTCGAACATACACGACATTATAAGAAAATAAGATCGATGACTATAATACATTTGTTTCAACATTCCTAAAATTAGATTACTTAAAATATTTTCCAAAATATTTAAGACTACTGAATACTTAAAAATTATATAAAAAGAGCTCACAGGTCATTTTCTTAAATTATGTTGTAACAGATAAAGTCTCCGTAGAACAACAGTAAAAGTGTTGACAGATTTTCTCATCGCTTGTTAAGTTATCTATGTGTGATAAGCAACAGTGATAAGCGCGTAATTACCGTTACCGTTTGTTTTAAAAATCTATTCCTCTGTTATTTTAAACTTAAAGTAAATAATATTTTGTTTCAACTCGGATTAATTATACTTTAAATTAGCTAATATTCCTCAAATAAAGTTTCTGGAAAGTATATTTTATTTTTGGAAGATTTTTAAAACCGAGAATTAACTTTTGTTCACAAATATATCAAAATATGTCAAAATAGCAGATTTTGTATAAGCGACCAAAACATCTAATCAATATAATTTCTATTTTAAATACACCAGAGTATTTTGTTTATTGAAAATAATAAATTTAATCATATAGCTTTCAATTAAAGCTAAAATGAAAGCTTCAAGAATGCATTTTTCATTTTAAAACTTCATTTTAAACCATAGGTATGGAAACTTCAGTGTAGTGCCTAATGCACACACACACACACACACACACACACACACACACACACACATATATATATATATATATATATATATATATATATATATATATATATATATAAAAAGAATGAACAGTAAGATATATAATCCGGTGTTCTTATAGATATTTTTATTTTTACAAAATAGGGCTCAATGTAAATTTACAGAGCATTAATATTATAATTAAATGATTTAAAATATGTTTTTTTCGCTACACAGTTCTAAACATCTTTCAACATAGTTAGAACTGTGTAGCGAAAAAAAATATATTTTAAATCAATTAATTTATAATATATATATATATATATATATATATATATATTATCTGAATGTAATGAGAACAAATGTAATATATAAGTTTTAACGTTCACGACATTAATTCAAAAGGGGGCTCAATACCGATAGTAGAACAATAATTATTTATTGTAATTTTTTCATATAGACAAAAACAATTTACTCACTACAAAGATGCAACTTCGTTTCGGAGCATTTAGTTGCACCTCGACTGGTGAGAGCCAAAATGGTTATGAACAATTTTGTTTGTAAGCACGCCGCACGTGGAACGTCACTTCCTTTTTTCTATTGGTTTGGAAAAAATTTAAGAGGAGACATATAAGGATAAAGAAAAGATAGGAAAGGCAAAACGATGACAGAGTGAAATAATAATGCTTGTTGATAGCAGTTTCTTGAAGCATTGTTGAAGTGTTAAAGTGATGGATCGACCCGAAAAATTTTAATCGACAGCAATGGTCAAAGGTTTAGGCACAACATTTCCAAGCCTCCTAAGAGTGAGAGGTGGGGGGAGTGATTGTGGGAATAGTAGAGAGTAAGACGATGAAAGAGGGATAAGTTGAAACGATGTTTATAATAGTAACTGGAAACGTTTTTGGTAACTTTAAAACGAAGCCAGAGCTGAATTGCGTATATTTAGGCTAGAACTATTGCTACTCGTTTTGTAATCAGTGAATGAATGAATAAATTAAAAGGTAGCGATTTTTCTTGGTATGTTGAATACATATTTTTTTTGTTTTTTTTAACAATTAGTTTTAGTTCAGAATTTAATATATTAGTAGAAAGTTATATAAATCTATGTGATATTAATATAACTTTTACAAGCAAATTTTGGCCTATTGTCAGACAGTATAACTTGTAGAATTAGTATAGATGTGAATTTTTCGGGACAAGTCATCACTTTAACATCTCAACAATCCTTCACTAACGTGCTATAAACAAGAACTATTGTTTCACTCTGTCAACGTTTTGCCTTTCTTATAAATTTCTTTATCATAATTACCATTTTGGCTCTCACCAGTCGAGGTGCAATTAAATGCACCGCAACGAAGTTGCATTGTTGTAGTGAGTAAATTGTTTATATATATTAATAATACATTATTCCCTCACCGGTAGCACAAATCTGAGTTTGATGCACAACGCAGTCGTCAGAACCTTGGTAACATAGCAATTCTTAGTTCAGTCTGTGGGTCGGGCAGTGTGTAATTGAACTCAGTGGAAGTGGGGCGAGCGATAACAGGATTAAATAAGAACAAGATGTACGTAAATGTGGACAGTGGAACGATAATATGTTCCTGTAGAATAAATAAATGGTTTCATCCGAAGTTTCCTTAAGATCGATTTGTGTCTGATGATGGTCGAAACGTTGTGACCTGAAGATCGCGTTGGGCATGAAACTCAGAGTTGTGCTATCGGCGAGAAAAAATGTATATTTATTATTAATCCACATTATATAGCTCTATTATTATACATCGAGCACTATTTTATTAGCATCTGCACTGAATGTGCGATATATATATATATATATATATATATATATATATATATATATATATATATATATATATATATATATATATGCATGTTTAAAGAATTAATGGCTGTTGTTTTTGAATCTGATAGATTGTAGGACTTCAAATGTTGTTTTTAGTGAATACCCATGGTGTCTACTCAAATACGGGTATCCTATAAAAATAATTTTTGGAGTCATAAATGTATCTACATGAATGTGTGTGTGTGTGTTTATGTGTGCATTAAAGTCTAAACCTGATTTGCACTAAAGTCTAAAGCTCATTTGTATTACTTCTCATATAGCAGTCAATGTCACCGTCCAGCATTTTACAACTCACATGCTTGTTAATTTTTAATACGATCTTAAGAACGTAATCATATAAGTGGCTTTATCCTCGGGATAACGAGAACCGTATGCAAAAGAGAAAGAAAACTATGAGCTGTATTTAATCCCAATTACAACATATTCTGTCATACGGCCATATCATGTTGAAACAACGGTTCCCGTATGATCAACGAAGTTAAGCGACTTCCAGCCTGGCAAGAACCGAGATGGGTGACCGCTTGGGAATAAGCGTGGATGTGCGGGTGGTGTTATGAATAATGGCACGAAATTGTTAATCGGAGAACCGAGTTCCAATTCAAGTGTGGTGTCTGGCACTTAGTATGATCTCCAGTTCGAATTTCAATAATTCGCATCGCCTTCACTATCCAATGTTCACATTGACTCACCATATGCCAGCAGATAAATGATATTAGTCTGTGCAGTTCCATAACATGAACATGCGGAGACAACACCTATCATTACTTATACATACCTCAATACTGCAATAAACCAATACTGGAATACTTCAATACTGGAATACCTCAATACTGAATGTCTCTATACTGTAATACCTCAATACTGGAATACATCAATACTAGAACACCTCAATACTAGAAAACATCAATACTGGAATATCTAAATAATGAATACCTCAATAATTGTGTACCTCAGTACTGAAATATAGCAATACTGGAATACATCAATACTGAATACCTCAATACTGAAATGTATCTATACTGAATACCTTAATAATGGAATACCTCAGTACTGGAATACCTTAATAATGGAATACCTCAGTACTGGAATATCTCAATACTGAATACCTCAATACTGGAATATCTCAATACTGAATACCACAATAATAGAATACCTCAATACAGGAATATCTCAATAGTGGAATACATCAATACTGAATACCTCAATAATTGAATACCTCAATACTCGAATACCTCAATACTGGAAAGAATGTAAACAGCGAGTGGACTTAGAAACCTATTTTCCTAAAAAAAAATGTTCCGGAAAAAGTATTTTCTATATTTCAATCGAAAGTAGTACAGGCTTCTCGGCCAATGAAACCGAATGTTTCCTGATAAGGAAACCACTAATCTTACTATTACCATTAGCATTCCATGACTTTTGGCACGTCAGTGTATTTTTAGTGTCATGAAATTTACAAGAGTGCAAATCTCCAAGGATTTTTAATCTGTCAATCTTGCATCTAGTCCAATCGCTTGCTTTCATTTTTTCTTTTTTTTTTCTCGTGTTTTTCTTTGTTTATTTTTTTCTTTCTTATTTTTCTTTTCCTTTTTTTTTGTCTCTCATTCGATACATGACTGACGAGCCAGATTTTTTCCAGCAGTAGGTTGCCATTTCTTTCTATCGTTGATCAGTTGCCATCCAAATCTGCAGAAACCGGTCTGTCCTGCTATTTACCCATAGCCGGCGGGGAGAAGAAGATGATTCATACCTTTCCCAAGGGTATTAACATGTAAGTAAATGTAATGGATTCGACTGGAATTCGAACTCGACTCTCCGATTCCTCAATTCAAGCTGCTATCCATTAGCCTGCCGTGCCTTTTGAAATTAGATTCCTATGCTAACGTGTAATTTATTCTTTCCCTGGTTTCAATGTTGTGCAGACAGAGCGATTCAAAACCACAGAGAAGGGATTACATTTTTAAGCGGTCTCTACTTATAAATTAAATCTTTCTCTTTTCTTCTGTCTGAAATTATTGGATGAAAAATTAGCATCATTTACATACGGATTACTGTCCTCATCTTTATTGTAGTTGTCACGACGTTTCGGCCATCATCAGGTACAGGTCGATCTTCAGAGAACTTTCAACCATGCCCTTTATCTGATCTACAGGGGTGGATTGTTCTCGTTCCGCTGTCCATTTCTAGAGATGCCCCGTTTTCATTTAGTACTGTTATCGCTCACCCCATTTCCACTGAATCCAAGTATACACTGCCCAGCCCAGGGCTTGAACTAACAATTGCAATGTCACCAAATTCACGAGCCAAACCTAACCTGCCAGATGAGTGCTGGTGGTGGAAATTATCACGCTTGCCTGCACTCATCGAGGCTTCTCTTATTAATGTTGCTACTACTGTTAAAGCCTCACTGTCTTTTTTTTAAATTTATTTATTAGCAACTTCCATAAAGTATTTATTTCTACTCTAGGCCAAGTAAGGAGTCCCTCATAATCTAGCATATGCGCTGATATTTTAGATGTCTGACTCTCCATTTTAATTAATTCCATATGGGTTGATGATTACTATTTTCTCTCCACACATGATCAGACATGCTTGATTTCATTGTTTCATACCTAACATGGTTTTTCGATGTTCCATCAGCCTTACCTGAAGGGGAACAACGACCGAAACGTTTAAATAACAACAACAAAGTTGAAGACAATAGTCTGCGTGTAAATAATGTAAATAAAATTATTTCTTGCTTATGAAATATTTCTAGCACGGAATGACCCGATATGCAGGGTGCGATGGATAATTTGTCGTCTAAATTATGGAAAGATTCAAATAACACTGGCATCACATTTTAACAGATATATTTACCAAAGTTGCACAATAATATCTTGAAATAGTAAAGAGTTTATTCAATAAAATCGCAACTGGCCTCTAGATGACTTCGGAATCTCTTGCAATGCTTCTGGGCGGTTGCCTTGTTTAAGTTGGTGAATGCTGCCTCAATCCTCGGCTTCAGTTTATCTTTAGTGTTACAAGGAATTTTGTTGGCCTTTCGCTCAACTTCGCCCCACACATAATAATTAAGGGGGTTGCAGTCTGAGGAGTTAGGTAGCCAGATGTAAGGGGTAATGTGGTCTCAGAAATTGTCTGACAGCCATGACTGGGTTCTTCTGCTTGTAGAATGATGCAGAATCCTGTTATCAGACACAGGATCTTCCAGCAGCAACTCTCTTGACCCGGAGGAGCACTACCTCCTCAAAGCACTCGATGAAGGCCTCCGTGTTGTGTCTGAAGTCCTCAGCAACAAATTCGGGAGTTCTTTTCTTATCAGAACGATCAGAGTGAGATTTCCGAGCTGCCGTACATTCGTAATCACCATTAGACTCAGCGAAATCTTCTAAAATCCTCTGCACTGTCCTCAGATTGACACCTAAACACACTGATCTATTTGTATTGGTGCTTCCGGTGCGAATGCCAAGCAGTATAGCCTGCTGTTTCTAAAGTTCTTGGCGTTATGTTGCTCTTTTTCATACGGACGGTGACCAACTGAGCCTACTATACTGCGCAGTCGACAAAAACAGACAACACGCATGCGCGAAATTAAAAATATATAATGGCGACAATTTACCCATCGCACGCTGTAATGCATTTTGCGAGTGAATTTATACTACCCCCCTCACCTTTGATAGATATTCGTCCATTTTTGGATTGCAGATATTTCTGAAATGTATTTAGAAAGGTTATAAGTAACTCGAAGGTGTAGGGGATTTATTTGAAAAGGTCATCTCTTTTCGTCTTCTCTCCTTTTGAACGACTTGATTCTTATCAATCTTTTCAAACTTCTTTTACTCTGAGAAAAAGAAACCGAAAAATCGATCACCGTTTTTCTATCGGTCTTTCTAGCCCGGACAATATAGTATTAAACATAGTAACATTGGACAGCACAATTGTAAAAGACTGACTGCCTGGGTCACAACGTATATGCATAAATAAACCTTCCAACCTTCACTGTGCTGTGAGAAAGGACATTCGTTGTGAAAAAACAGTAAAAGTATAAATTACAGTAAAAATATAAGATTTGATTTATTTTTCCTATAAAACATCCTTAATAAGCTGTCTTTGCTACACCAAATGGGGAGACATTTAATTCCTTTAATATCTAAATCCACGGCCTTCCCACTCCTGTTGGAGGAACACTTCCCTGATTGTCCATGTGTAGCCGTATTTAACAAGCATGGTGAGGCTATTTAATCTATAGTTTTAGTACGACACTTGACTTTGAAAAGTTCATGCGCTCTTTTAACAGCACTTGATTTCTTGGGGTTTCAGTTACCCTGCAGACCAGGTTTTGGATTTAGACTTGTCTTTCTCTTAGTCTGGTTGCCACCCAAGTCTACCCTGCTATTTACCCCATAGCTGGGGCAAGAAGAGATGAATTCATACCTTTTCCAAGGATATTTGCACGTAAGTGAATGGAACGAACTCAATCTCCGATTCCCCAATCCGAGCCACTAAACATTACTCCACCGTGCCTCTTCTTTAATATAAGCTATTAGTCCTGGTAAGATGATGTTGTGAAACCGTAACATACCTACAAGATGGACTCTTCCAGGACTATATAAAGTATGCGATATAATACTCTAAGAGAAGAGGAGGAATGAGAGAGAGAGAGAGAGAGAGTATTCTAATACCGTAGTATCAGCCGCGTACGACTACCAATATTGGACACTAGCATATAGTAAGCTCCGCTTACACTTACACTATCTTTGTAACCTTTTTGTGTAATATATCTTTCTTACCTCTAATCTGTGTTCCGTGTTTTCCTTCCGTGGTCCCAACTTTGGGCCCACATCAGTGGCGACGAAGAATTCAAGAAACGCACTCACGACGTCTCACCATATCAATAGCGGCAGAGTACTCGAAAAATACACAGAAACTCCACGCGTTCCCACAGCAGTGTTGAACGAGAAATTAAGCTGGTATTACTACATCAGCGATCTAAACGCAACACCCAGCGTCTACATATAAAAAAAATATATTCCGATACCAAACATCAGTGACGAACTAGCGATTCGACATCTACGGAATATTAAAGTCTGTCCAAATAACATAACGAGAACGATTTCTTACACACCCACACACAGAAAAAAACCAGCTTGTTTATAAAACAAACTGACAACACAAGAGCCGAAGTACTACTTACGACTCTAGTTTTCGAAAAAAAAAACTATGTAAAACTGACCCTCATTTCTCTTACTACTCCTACTTATATTAGGTGGGGGAGTCTATTAACTATAGAATAGGTGTGGTTCACCATAACACAAAGCTAGGAAGAAATTGTAATCAATCCCTTGCAAGTGAGTCAGGTTTAGGTCTTAAATAACACATAAGGTGTTGATATGATGAAAAATCAACCCATCCAAAACCAATTTCTTTATTTGGCTTCTTTAAATAACTGTTTTCTTTTAAGAACTACGTGTAGTAATTTCATTGGTTCAATTATTGCTCAGTGTTACGCGGATTTGACAGTCTTATAAACGTCCA